TTTGGGATTATCTTTATCACACGTACCAAACGACCATTTATATTCCTGCATTTGGAGACACACCTATGGTCCAGCCAACATAATGCACTTGGTTTTTTATTTCCAAGAAAGAGAATCTTAACATGGTTTACATCATATACAGTGAGGGTTACAAAGGTGTAAAATTAGAAGAAAAAAAAAAACTAACATGTTGGAGCAAACAAAGGCTAAATTATCTCCTCAACAGATTATAGGCAGGTAAATCTTTTACACTGGAAGTATCTTCAAGAGCGAGCTCACGCTCTAGTTGCACTCTCGTGGCCTTCAAAACCTCCTACGAAAAGGAAAGTGAAAGGAGAATATGTGTTGGTAGAGGTAAATATATGAAAAGAATCCAATGGAATAGTTTAGTGTTACCAACATTAAATTCCATATATGATGCTCGTTTTGCTAGCCATTGTGCATCGAGCATTTCAAAGGCAATGCAAAAGATGTTGTCAAATGCCATGTCATCTTCGCTGAGTAATTCTAGAAAGCGGACACCTGCAAGGGTGCTAGGTGTCCCTGCCACTCAAAAAAGAGGACAACGACTTATCAATAGAATCTTTACTTACTCATCAAAAGGGAACATGCAAGAACTTGTTACATAAGAAGAGGAAAGTAAAAGGTGGAAGAATTTCCTAACATTCATGCAGAGAGATCGAGAACAGAGATGATACACGAGACGTTGAGACCAACTTATTGTTCCTATGTCATTAGAAAGAATGATGATACTAGGGAATATAATTACACATTAGATTTTCAGAATAACCAGTTCAGGACGATTTAATCACAACATTTGATTTATTTGGAAGGATGTATTGGAAGCTGTTGAATGTTTAAATATTCACCATATATTTCTCAGCCAAAAACATGAAAGACACTAACTTCTAACTGAACTTTCCGTACCTGATTGAAGATCAAACATTTGGACCAACATAAACGATATATTGATGCCAGCTACAGCAAATGGATACTCCCACTCAGATCTGTTTCCGTTTCTTTTGTGCAACAAGTTCCGGAAAGATTCCTGTAATAGAGCAGGCGATGAGGGAAACACTATTAATGAAAAACTTACTTCCCTGCTCTACCAGACACGAGAACATTGGTCTCAAGAGAACTCAATTATGCTTTTCTAAAAAGCTATATATATCAAGCTCCATGAAACACAAAAACAATCGCCCAAATATCAAATATATTGCTCGGCTGGCATCCACCCAGTCCATGCTGGAGCACTGTTACAGTTGACGGCAAATACAAGACGATTTTCTTATGGCAAGGGTATGAATGGCTCAAATTATAACAGTAGGATAAAACTAAGTTCCGCACAATAGAGGGGTAAATTCCCAATACAATAACAATCATCTAGTTAATTTGTACCAGATAGGCTTCAAAGCATATAAGGGTGGAGGAAGGTAAATAATATGATGTACAAACCGGGTATGTCTTGGCAAAGAAGATAAGGTTCTCCAATGATATGAATCCTCCACCCCTGGACATTTACACTCATAATTTTAGTATAAGAACGACAGCAAAACAAAAATGTGAATCAAATATACACTTCCTCATATACCTGAAGTCTGTTGAAGGGTCAGATCCTTGCCAACCCATTTCTTTCCAAAGCTCAGATTTAAGAGATGGGAGCTGCCTATCGGGATAAGATAACCTCCATAGTTGCCTAAGAGCATCCTGGCACCAAATTTGGATTTTTAGTTCTTCACAAACATATAAAACAACGAGGCACACATACAAGAGACTATTATCTTGCAAGACAAGTTTAAGAGACATAATTATCTCCTTCTCAAAAAGAAAAATTATATGTGATCAATTAAAGAATGCAGTTTGAAGCTCTCCTTTCTATTTTCTCATCACGAGTCCAAACTAAGGTTGCTTGATCTCAAGAAACCATAGTAAGTCATGATATCTTCTCATAACAAATCAACCATCTAAAGAGTGAAGCTCTAAAAGACTAGTATGGAAACCTTAAATAACTTTGAAACAAGGAGCTTTCAGACTAATAAACTTGAACCGTCCATTGATTAGAACCATACAGCATTAACTACACAAGTCAATATCTCATTCCTATAATTGCTGCAAACTCTTCCAGTGCTAAAGAAAACCAAAAAAAATAAACATTTAACAAAAACACGGGGTAAAGTTTACATACTTGATGATCCGAGGAAGAACCATCAAAAGGGATCGCTAGCCTTTGCTTGAGATGTTTGAGCCTTGCTTCCTGCAATCAAATGTCAACGAATTCAATGACAGGAATGACTAAAATTATGTATCAATAGATGAAACACAATTAGGCTGTAAGGGAGATCGGTGGATGAGTTTAATGGATTTGATTCTTTTCAGATGGGGATATAAGTGATGGACATGACAATACAAACACAAATAAAATACCACAAGGTAAACCACAAAATTTTCATGTGTCAAACCCCTGCAGACTCCAACAAAAAGAATGGATTTGAAAAGCTCTAGGCAACATTTTAGCAGAGATAGTTAATATCATGTATCTGCAAATGAAAGGCAATCAAAGTTCAGACATTTTGCTCTTCAATCCTCATGTATTACCTGTAAAGGGCTAAGTAAAGGAGGTAAAAGATTTCCTGTTGATCCAGATTGAGTTGAGGCAAAAGGAAAAATCCGGCCAAGAAGTGACCCAGACACAAAGACAATATTTGCTGCAAGATCAAAGGATAATGGATCAGAAAATTTGAAGTCATTACAATTGTATATAACAGATTTGAGAAAGTTTGGGAAGTGCCTATAACAGATTTGAGAATCCTCATAGACATTCTTCCTTCTGAGGTTTAGTATATGGAGAAAGAACAAAGATGCTAAAACTTGAAGAAGGCTTTTCACCTAGCTTACGGCCTACCATCATTGCTCTCTTCCACCTCAAGGAACCTGCATATCCCCCTAAATTAGCCTGTTCTCCTTTTCTATTTCCCTAAGGTCCCCAAATCATTTCTTAACCTAGGATTTGTAACAACTAACAAGGTACCAAAAGTCACAAAAAGGTCTAATCCTCTACCTACTCTTACTGCTTGCTGCACCATTCGACTTCTTCAGTGTTTCTTCTCCTACTCTAACCTAACCTCTCACATGATGCTTTCTGTTCTACTCATTCAGCTTCGGTCGTTAATCCATAAGGGAAGAAAAATACACAATGTTGTGATGCCCTATCTTTTAAGTAGTTTGGTGTGTGTAAGTAATTGCATTGCATAGCATGCACATTGCACAAAGAGCATAATATCAAATTACAAGCAAACGAAAATCACACCGTAATTGCATTGAACAACATGCACAAAGAGCATAACATCAAAAGTACAGACAAACGAAATCACACCTAACCATTGTGCCCATTGAGAAATCAGATGAGAAAATAGCAGCGTCCAGTGCAGACGTTCCCGTCTTCGCCCTTCATCCAACACTTCTTCAAGCGTACTTACCTACAATTCAAAGAATTTCCATTTCATAATCTCATCCAAATCTTCTCTATCAAAGCACAAACTCCCAAAAGCACAAACTTTTAACAACATAACTCAAAATATCATCAACAAAAAGCCTCAAAAAGCAAAATAAATCCCAACCCATTTCACAATCCAATCCAATCCAAATCTTCTCTATCAAAGTACACAATCCAAAAAACACAACCTTTTAGCAACATAACTCAAAAGATCATCACCAAGAAGCCTAATAAAGCAAAACAAATTCCAACCCATTTCACAATCCAATCCAATTTTTCTCATTCTCAGCACAAAACCCCAAAAAAGGGAACTTTTAGCAATATGATTCAACACATTATCAACAGAAAAAACAGAAATTCACCTGATCACTGTCATCATATTTCTGGTACCCAAGTAAAGGCTCATTCAAACCATCATCAGAGCCCAAAGAATCAAAGTGCTCATTCTTTTTGCCACCAACATCCCCATGATGAAGCCTTCTCCTCAAAGTTGATGTCATGAGTATATATATTCAAGAACTCAAAACCCCACTTTGAATTCTTCAACTGAAACCCAAAAAAATGGAGAAAAATCCCAAATTCTTGATGTATGGGAAATTCAAAACCCCTAAAATTCAAGAAAACGACAAGAAAAACCACTTCTTTTGGACAATTTTGTTTCTTTTTTCTACAGTATATTTATATTAATTGCTATTTATTTTTTATTATTATATATATATTTATTATTTGTCTCTTTCTTAGGAATTAAGGGAGGAAATAGGTGATAAATATACGCCAATGAGAAAGCTTTAACAAGCTTGAACATTGGGTCAACTTTAATTTTAATAAATAATAATTAGTTTTTAAAAAAAAATAGGAGTAATAGTTTTATGATTATATTTAAAAATAATTTAGCTTTGAATTTTTTATTATTTTCTTTTCCTTAAGGGAGAATCAAGCAATGTAGATATCTTGAATTAAGCTTGACGATCTAGTTATAGATCGGAACTTGAAAGTAAATATATTGTAAACATAGTTTCTTTCTTCGTTTTTATTGGAAACTTCAATAAGAGATATAATTTTATTTTTCTTACTTGGTAAGCACTTGGCCATAGCCAAACTTCGATTGCATTTGCTTACAAGTTACAACTTCTAATCAACTTTTTTCACTCGAGAAATTCATATATTTTTGTTTTTCTCTATTTTTGTTTAAAAACAAATGTTGCAGTAATAATTTATAATCGTACAAATATTTAAAATCATAAAGTCAAATTTTTTATTTTCTTGCTTAATTTAGAACGCCTATCAAATATTACTACAAAAACTCTAATCATATAAACATCTAAAAATATAAATTTCATTATCCTATTTTTCAAGGCTCGAATAAGAAGATATTAATAGCACAATCAATTTGGAATAGACATAATATCACTTGTTACACTAACTCAATTACGATAATTTATCTAGATATTGGCACGAATTTTAAAAAATTCGTGCCAATACTAATTTGTCGACTTGTTTATACAATTCCATCAGGTAGGATATTTTTTTTTTTTGCGCCATTGCAGGGTTATTGAGAAAATATGGCCATTGCAAGCTTTAGTTTACCTTTTACATATCTTCAAAAGCCTTCTTCTTGTTCTTGCAGATGCAGCAGCAGCTCGTTTGAGAAGCCAATTTTTGCCCATTCTTCTAATGGTATAGCCAACAAAGCCCTGCAGGAAATTCGAAATTCTGGAGTTATTGCTTGCCTTCGAGCCCAAAAGTAACTCTTTTTGTACCATTTTTGTTTAGTTTTTTTTGATAATTAAAGCTAAGTAATGTGAAATCTGAACTGGGTTTACTCTGAAAAATAGGTAAAGTTTGATTTTAGTAATAAATTTGTGTTAATTCAACTAATTCTTGGTAGAGTTAGTTAGTTAGTTACCATAAGCTTGTTATATTTTATCTTTACAACTGCAGTATTTCTGTTATTTCAGCTACTTGGAATTTCAATTTTTAAGCTCCCATTAGTCCATACATGTTGAAGAAACTTGAAAATTCGAGTTTTTGAAGTTGTGATTTTTCAAATTCGACAAATTGTGTTTGGACATGCATTTTACTGCAAAAAAAATTGAACTTTTCTGAATGGAAGTCCCTAAAAAGCCAAAAACTGGTCTGAACCCGTTCTTTTGAAACCTTGAAATATTTGAAGATTGGATTTTTTAATTTTGATCAAATTTTATGGTCAAACAGATATTTGAAGATAAAATTTCAAAATGTAATCCCAAAATCTATGGGTAAATGCTAGCTTATTCTCTGTAAGTCTTTTTTATTGTAGAGTGATTACTTTTGTAAAGGGTATTTTTCTCTTTAAATTTATGGATAAAAAGTGTTTCTGAAAGAGTTTAGCTATGTAGTCAAGTAATGTAGACTATTTAGGGAAGGAGAGTTTTCCGCCATGCTATTATAGGGATTTAATTCTCATTTGCAGATGGTTGTTTGGATATAAGCAAAGTTTATCTCGGAAACAAATAGTACTTTTTAGCATCACATTTTCCACTCCATCTTTTGTGTCATTTCAAAATATCTTAAAAGACATGGAAATGTGAAGTTGCACCTTTCCATGTTGTTTAGTGCAGACCTGGCTAATCGAGCTGCACGTGCTGCATTGGATGGTGGAATTTCAGCTGTAAGTTTGAATCTATCTGATATACTTATCACCCCATCGTCCCAAGTTCATGGTCCACCTTTCTACCTTTTGAATGAATATTTTATTCAGAATATAAAGAGGTGTTTTGATAGTCTTTATCTTCTAACATTGCAGCTGGAAATTGTGGTGTCCACTCCAGATGTTTTTGAGGTACTGTGAGACATGCAGTTGCTTGCTCTTTCTCATGCTGGAAAGCAGTAAACATTTGGCTACTTATATGCTTCTTTTCCTTTATGCAGGTGTTAAGAGACCTAGTGCATGATTATCCAGCAAAAACTTTTGGTGTAAGTATTCACTACCTTCTTTTATTAATTCACACTATTTTTGATTCAAAGAAAAAGAAGGGAAGGGAAAGAAGAATAGGAACTTGTTGCGTTCCCTCTCTTATGGGGGAACTTCCCTTGTTGGGTGTCTACTGTAGCTGAAAGGAAGTAGAAGGCGTTCGTTGCCCTCATTTTTTATATCTAATTCTATTCTTTTTTGTTTGGGGGTGGGGAGGAAGCACACTTCCCGAAGGAGGGAAAGTATTCTTACACTTTCTTGGCTTTCCCTCTACCATATCCTCCCTTTATCGCCCCATCAAAGTGTGGCGTATATTCAGTCTTAACATCCTCAATTTGTCTACTTCTTGGTAGGTTTTCAGTTCATGTGTTTTATTGTATTCCAAAGTTTTTAAATTTTACCTTGGCTTAAGTGCAAACTTTAGTTTCTGTAGTAGTTATTCTTTGTTTGTGATTTGCAAGACATTCTTTCTCGAGGCATGATATTTGTCTGTGAATAAGCAGGTGTGCCAACAGTAAGGGCATGCGAAGCATAATAATACCGTAGTGTCAACATTGTGTATTGTGGACTATGTGTAAAACATAATAAGGACAGGCTACCAACTGTAATTGTAAACACATTTTCTCTATGTTTGCAGGTTGGAACAGTATTACAGGCTAAAGATGCCAAAGATTCTATTAAGTCTGGAGCTAAGTTTCTTATGAGTCCTGCAACAGTTATGGTATGTGCTAGTGTTTCAACCTTTTAGATCTTATGCCAAATCCATATGTCTATTTGATGTATATCTTATATAAAGATCAGTTCCTGTTACCTGTGAATGTCTTTAATGGATCTATATATATATATATGGGTTGTGAATGCCTAAATGGTAGTTGTATTTTGTGACCATGGTGACTGCTTTACTTGATTCTTGCATGTTTTTCCTTTTTCTCAGGATATTCTAGTTGGTGTCTCAGAGAGTGATGTTCTATATATACCTGGGGTAATGACCCCCACGGAGGTACTGGACTATCTTGCTCTTCATTTCATCTTGTGAGCTTAGAACAGAAAAAGATATCAGGATTTTGCCTCCAAGGACTTGGGAAAGGGCAGAGCCCCTGCCAAGTTCTGTGTTTTAGTGCCCGTTTATATCCCACAACTGGGGACACAGACTTATTTCTTGAATATCGACAAGATTTCTTCATGTCATGAAAATATTCAGATTATAACGGCAAAAGAGAGTAATGCAATTGTTTTATGATCCTGCAGATATTATCTGCTTTCAGTGCTGGTGCCAAGATTGTCAAGGTGAGTCATGACTATTTTTGATCTGTCCCTTGCTCTATGGTTTACCACTATAGCTTGCGGTGATCCTTTTTACAACTTCCTTTTTTTTTTATTTACATAGGTTTATCCCGTCTCTGCACTAGGCGGTGTTGGGTACATTTCAGCTCTTAAAAGGCCTTTTTCTCATATCCCTATGGTTGCATCACAAGGCATAACAATAGGTTGGTTATCTGAATAGAAATTTCTCGGTTATACACCCATGTTTTAATTGTTATCTTTTCTTTTAGATTGGTCATCATTCGATTTTAAAAAATTATCATCTCAGGGTCATTCCAAGAAGTTGCCTTTCATTTAGAAGATGAATTGAAATATCTACTTCATCAGTTGGCAGTAATAAAATTCGGGATGTTTATGCTAAAATTTGACCTTCAAACAAATTCTTATGGAGCATATGTTGATAGTTGAAACTTGAAATGAATAATGCAATATGGCCGGTGCCTTTGACTCTTCTTCCACCAGTATCTTGATATTTACTTATGGAGAATCTGTTGTTTCTCTAATCCGTCATATCTCTCTTGCATATCTTACTTTTGTGAGAAATGATGGATACCTGTGCTTTAGTACAGATTTGATTGGGCAATACATTGGTCAGGGAGCATCAGCAGTTGTTCTATCCGATGCCATATTTGACAAAGAGGCAATGAGTCAACAGAATTTCGATAAAATATATCAACTTGCAAGCCATGCAGCTTTGCAGGGTAAACAAGCTGTTGAAAGGTCAGAATGTTAGGTGCAGATGCATCTTTCGATTTGTTAAAACCTCATGGAACTGCAGGGGTTTATGAGAAACGAGAAATCAGATTAAGCCATCCGTCATCCTGCTTGAAGTTTGGTAAGCAATCATGTGCTTTTAACATTTAAAGTGACTTTCTATATTTGCACTGAGTTTGTCCCGTGTTAAGTTATGTCTATTATCTTGCTTGTACGTTTCTTGAAAGATGAAGACCATGTAAATGTCCCTCAAATGTAAAGAATAGACGCCAAGGTTCACAATCGAATATCTCCACATCAAGTGATCAAAAATACACTTTCGTAACACTCAAATATGGAGCCAGACACCCTATACCTTTCATTTGAATGCTGCATCTCGCGTGTCTAAATTTCATTCTTAGTATAACCTTGACTTGTTGTCGTGCAGGAAAAATTAACTGTGCTGGTTTCGGTAGGGAGAGTTTTACACCCTTAGTGAGCCTCAGAGTGAATCTAGATTAGTCGAAGCAGTGGCCTTTGGATATCAGATGGTTAAACCGAAAACAAAAGCTGTGTTGGTTAGTTCGTCCGTCTCCGATTTACAGTCAGTTGCAACATGTTGTGTGTATGTCGCAAAGGGTGCAGACATGCCAGATTACAAGCAATTGCAGGTTGCTAAATCAGTTGTTTTTCCACAACTTCATTGTTGTTTTTGTTTCACTATCCTATAATGTTGACGCATTCATGTTGAATTCTCGAAAAATAATACATATTTTTAAAGAATCTGACAAGTACCTGTCAAATTTTTTAAAGAGTACGAATAACATAGCTTGTAATACCTTGTGATATTTGGAGATTAAAATTTAATAACATTGTGAAGGTTAGAGATGGCAAATGCTTATTACATTAGATGTTTACCCCAAATCATGTTAATTTAACCATAATTAATTGGTGTTTGAGTTGATAATTAATATATTTGACGATTAAACTCTTTTATACTCTATACAGTACTTTCTTTGACTATATTAGATATGGAACCACAACACTAATTAACATCATATTAGTTTAAACAAAATCAGAATCAAAATAATCAAAGCGTTATACGAAAATTAATAATTGCACACAATAAATCAGACAATAACGAAAACAGTATAAAATATGAGTTGGTCAATTGACCTACATATAAAAAAGAAAAAAATCTGGTAAAATCGTAACGAAACTCTCAATTATAGTGCAGCAGCTTCACTATCAAAGAGTTGACATATGGAAGAAGAGACGCGGAGCCAATAAGAAGAGTGATGTGGTTAACAATCAAAACACCTGTATGACGACTCTCCCAAGATTTCATGTAACAAATTTCTTCCAGGAATGGAAGCATAGCAGGAATACCTAATGTAGATGCAACGATGCTAAAAATTCGAGCAGTCATGTTCCTCACATCTTCATTAGAGTTGTCAATATTGTCCAGCATTACATAAATCATACTAGCTATACCAACTTCTTCACTAAGATCAGATATGATTTCTCTACCCTTAATACGAACATTGTTATCTTCATCAATTAACAGAGGTTCAGTCAAAACGAGAATTTTTTTTCACAAATCTGTTTTTGTTTGGCTCTCTAAACAAATTCAGAATACCAATAGTCTTCTTCATCGAAATCAACCACTCTTCCATCTTCTTCGTCTAATTGATCTTCTCAAATTAACTTTTACAAGGCAAAAAATCTAAAACCTAAACAGAGTCGGATTCACATTTACTTTTATTGCTTAATTTATTAGTACTATCATAGAAGTAATTTAAATCCCATTTAGGATTTGTTAATTTATTACCGCCATAAAAGTAATTTAAATCCTATTCGGTGTAGGATAATATTTTTGTTAATTTATTACCATAAAACTAATTTGAATCTCATTCTATTTAGGATAGATTTGTATATATATTGAGGGTGACTTTTTGTTCTTTTCATCTGATCAAAAATCAATTTCCAAAATACTCAGTAGATAAAATGGAGCAACAATTAGCTTCGGAGAGGAAGATGATAGCTACTCTGAATTTGTTTCCAGAGTCGGAGAAAAAGAAAATTGTGAACAAAATTCTTGTTTTGTCTGAACCTCTGTTAACTAATGAGGACTAACAATGTTCGTATTGTGGGTACAGAAATCATATTTGATCTTAGCAAAGCTGCTGGTATTGATACTATGATTCATGTAATGCGTCTCAATATTGACAGTTCTAATGAATATATCAGGAATGCAACTGCTTGATCTTTTAGCATCGTTGCATCTGCATTAGGTATTCCTGCCATGCTTCCATTCCTCGAATAAGTTTGTTTTAACATGGAATCATGGGAGGCTCGTCATACAGGTGTTATGATTGTTTACCACATCATTGTTCTTATTGGTTCCGCGTCTCTTCTTCCATATTTGAGTTTTTTGATGGAAATTATTGAACCTCGTCTTAAAGATGACAATCAGAAAGTCAGGGACATTACGATTGTTACCATGGATGGTCTTGCTAAAGCTGCTACACTATGGTATTGAGAGTTTCGTTACGATTTTGCCTGATTTTCTAAGAGGAATAGTTTGAAAGACGTTTTTATTTCTCATACATAACACAATAGTATATACAATATAGTTGTCGAACTTATAAAGTTTTTAATTTTTCATATGTAAGTCAATTGACCAACTTATAAAGTTTTCATTATCGTCTGATTTCTTGCTGATTATTTCGATCCCAACAAAAAATCATTTGTACATAACTTACAAAAATTTCTGTATCCATGAAATAGAAGGTTAATTACAACCACCATCCTAGAATAATATGTCTATTATTGAACTGGAGATTAACTATTTAAAGGCAAAACTACTATCTATGCATTATAAAATTATAATTCATAAATATTAGTGTATGACTTCATAATATTATCAAAGAGGTATGGTGGGACAACGTCACTAATCAAGATGAATTTAAAATTTGAAATTTATAATTTGAGAGACCAAAAGCATTTGAATTGGTGTTGAGGGGCATTTTGGGTCTTTCTCTGTTTTAAAAATACCCTCCACAAATCAATGGAAAGGATGCGGAAAAAGATAACTGTGTCTTAACCATGCTAATGCATCCATTATAAACGCTTGCAATGGTTTGCCATATACTTCCTTTGTCCCAAAACAAGTTTTACCTTAGTAAATATCACGTCCACTAAGAAATCAATAAATACAATGTATCACTATTTAATTAATGTCTCTTGAAAAATGCATAAGGGGTATAATTGAAAAAACATACTAATTTTATTTAGAATTCACATATTTGAGGTAAATTATCTGAAATGTGTCACATAGATTGGAAGAGTCAAGTTATTTCAATGGCGGAGCCAGAGATCCCTTCCGAATTTCCCTATCGTGGGAGAAAACGGCAGGCAGGAGAAGAAGAAGAGGAGAATATGAATAAAGATGATGATTCTGACGATAGCGATTATTCTATAGGTTACGATTCCGATGATCCCATTTTTGAAATTCTGGAAGGTAAAGCAGATCGCAAGATCTGGACGCAGTATTACAGGGAGTGGGATGAGAGCGAGGTAACTTACTCATTGTTTGGTACGCGGGATGAGATAATTTCAATTCACTTCATTCATCATTAGATCGTATTGTAATTGAGGTTACTTTTTGGTGCAACAGGGTTTTGATATCTCTGTCTTTCCGGGTACCTCTTTTATGGCTGGAATTGCACAACAATACGATCACCTGACGAGTCCAAAGGTAAAACAGGAATACACTGAGCTGTGCAAATTGGCAATTAAGAAATTCAATTCAGAGAATGTAAGTGTTTGCCTTGCTCTTTTTGTTTGAAATGGTTAAATATCGAAGCTAATATAGATTGTGTGATTATCTTCTATTTAGGATAAAATGTATGCTTTCGAAGAAATTGTAACAGTAAATGCATCGTTTGCTGCTGGGACGTGGTATTATTTCACCTTTAAAGCCCGTGATGCTACTGTTGATGTTGATGATGCTGATGCAATAAAAACTTTTCAAGCATTGGTGTGGCATGGAATCGATGAAATCATTGATGTGGATTTTTGCAGGCTTAAGAAATTTTTAACTAATGAAGGTAAACTCTCTACTCTGTTGATCATAATTCGTAACAGACTTTATTCAATAGGATGTTTGTGAAAGACTTTCTCATTATATTATATTGTAAATACACGTTATATTTATACATATAGATCAGGTAAGAGTCCTAGTCTAAGTCATGTAGTGAGAATAACAATCCTATGCAAACTAAGCCACAAGTAAGTTATCCTTCGTCATTCCCCCTCAAGTTGAGCAGGGGTCTGGACCACCATCAACTTGGATTTCAACTCAAGAAACCGTGACTTGGACAATGGCTTCGTTAATAAATCTGCAACTTGATCATGAGAACTGACATACCGCACCGAAAGAGTCTTAGCACGAACATTCTCTCGAACAAAATGAAAATCAATCTCCATGTGCTTCGTACGAGAATGGAAAATGGGATTGGCTGTTAAGTATGTAGCACTCAAATTGTCACACCATAGAACAGGAGTAGAAGACGTAAAACAGCCAATTTCCCAAAGCAAAAACTCCACCCATGTGATTTCTGAAGTTGCGGCAGCTAGTGCTCTATACTCTGCCTCAGTGCTTGATCGAGATACCGCCTTTTGCTTCCGTGATGACCATGATATCAAATGGTTACCCAAGTATATAGCAAAACCAGTGGTGGACTTCCTGTCATCCACATCTCCCCCCCAATCAGAATCTGTATAGCCATGAAGTAATGTAGTAGATCGTCGTGAAAAGAACAACCCATGAGCTAATGAACCTTTGATATATCTCAATATACGTTTCACTGCCACCCAATGAATATCCATAGGACAATGCATGAATTGAGAAACCTTATTCACTGCATACGCCAAATCCGGACGCGTGAAAGTTAAGTACTGCAGCCCACCAACTATGCTACGATACAATGTCGGATCATTGAATGGAACACCACTAGATGATGAAAGTTTAGAAGATGGGCAAATGGGAGTGTTAACAGGGCTGCAAGACTCCATCTGGACACGTCGAAGGAGCTCCTCAACATATTTCCTTTGAGATAAAAATAAACCTTTATTGGTCCTAGATGCTGCAATACCCAAAAAAAAAAAGTCCCTAAATCAAAAACTGCGAATTGGGATTGGAGCTGCGTAATCAAAGACTTAATACGAGCAGTGTTATTACCAAGTACCAAAATATCATCCACATATATTAGACAAAAAAGTTTATCAGATGGAGTAGACATATAGAACAAAGAACTATCTGTCTTAGAACCCGAGAATCCTAGTGAAGTGAGAGCATCAGTGAGTCGCTTGTTCCACATACGAGGAGCCTGTTTAAGACCATACAAGGATCGTTTGAGAAGACACACATGATCTGCACGAGAGGAATCTACGAAACCAGGAGGTTGAGACATGTAAACAACTTCATCCAAGTTACCATGAAGAAAAGCATTGGAGATGTCTAACTGTGTGATATGCCAATCATTAGTCACAGCCAAGGATAGTAACAACCGAATTGTGGATGGCTTAACTACAGGACTGAAAGTATCCACAAAATCAATCCCAGGTCGTTGGTGATACCCTTTGGCGACAAGTCGTGCCTTGTAACGATCTAAAGAACCATCGGCCTTCAATTTTGTCTTAAACACCCATCGACAACCAATGATATTTTGAGTTGGGGAGGAAGGAACAAGCTGCCAGGTTCCATTGCGTATTAACGCATTGTATTCTTCATCCATAGCATGACGCCAATGCTCATGCTTAACAGCTTGAGAATAGCAAGAAGGTTCCTCAAAGGTCGAAGTAATAGCAGACATGGAGAATGGCTGCTTAGGCTTCAGTGAACCAGTTTGAGCCCGAGTGACCATACGCCGAGCAGGTGGTGAATTTGGCAACTCAGGTTGTGGTGACATAGGTGTTACCATCGAACTTGGAGGCTGAACAACTACATCTGGTAGCTGTGAGGGCTGGAATACAGATAACTCAGTTATTGGTAAGGTGAGGGACTGATCTGGTCGAGATTTATTTGGTAAAGAAGTCACGGAAGGGTTAGAAGGAAAATTACTTGCAGATGGAGGTAGTGTTGGAGAAAGAGGAATTTGCAGCGTGAGAGGATCTGTTGGAGGATTGGTTGATTTCATGTGCACCAACGCATCCTGCGAAAAAAATGGAAACACAGATTCATCAAAAACTACATGACGTGAGACAAAAAATTTTGAGGAAAGAGGATCAAAGAATTTATATCCTTTATGAATTTTACTATATCCCAAGAACACACACGGTTTGGATCGAGGTGATAATTTGTCCTTGGTGTAGGGACGAAGCCAAGGGAAACACATACAACCAAAAACACGCAACAGAGAATAGTCTGGATCCTTTTGAAAAAGTGCATGAAATGGTGATCGATTTTTCAACCGTGGTGTGGGTAATCTATTAATAGTATATACA